CACTCTTGGAGTTTAGTTTATTATTTATGCATAAAACATAAAGTACTTGTATTGTAAAACAATATTTATTTTGGAACAATACATGTTTTAATTTAGCATGTCTACACACACACACAGATATATATATATATATATATATATATATATGTGTGTGTGTGTGTGTGTGTGTATGTATGTATGTATGTATGTGTGTATTTATAAGTTAATTTATTAAATGATTGATTATTTAATTAATCATTTTTCCATAACCACCACTTTCCATAACATCCCAAAAATGATAGTAATTTCTTTTTCAAAACCATATGAAAATCAGTAAGTCATACAATACATTTGTTCCAAAAGCCACAATCGTAAATCATAGTATCCAATATCATTTTATTAAAAAAAATATCCGAGAATACTCCTAAGCTAACCTCTCCCTCTCCACCAGGGGAACATAGTCAGTATGGAACATATCAGAAACTGCTCCCAAGCACTCTAGATTTCTCTGAAGGTGAATAAGCACCGGTAACCAACTTCCGCTTGTCCTTCGCCCCCAAACAAAGAACGCTCAAGGCAGACCTGACCTTTTGGTGAACCGAACATGAACAAATGAAGAACCAATCCTCCACATTAGATAACCAACTTATAGAAATGATCGAGTCCTTGATCTCGTAAAGCTATGGGGGCTTTGTGTTGGTGAAGTCCTGGTACTAATATAACCCTCACCCCTGAACTACCTGAAACGCAACGATGCCATTGGATACAATTCATACTATTACATTATTATGGAATTGCTAAACCCTTAGGGTTCGTGACATCCTTTATACGCGTATGAGTCCTATGCTTCCAGTGTGTATGACCATACTACCTTCCACACCTACCCGTATTTGTATCAATAGGTCATCAAGGACCACTAGGCCACAAGGCCCAACATCTAGCATACATATACATCCTACACACATTGTCCTAAAAGTGACTAATCCTTCCTCACGTTGGTCCACTATAAACCATATGCACTCATGAAACTTCTACTAACCCTGATGTCGCTCGTGCATGCTAATCATACATAAAAATGGATTTGATAGATAGTCGAATACTTGATCCTACCCTAAGCCTACAACTAGACAAAGAACATGGAATAAGGTTAAATCAAACATTCACAGGCTATAACATATTATTTATGTCCAACTATGATGCATACAATAAGCAAAGACAATGATAATGTCAACTCTATTTATGATATCAAGAAATCCCCTAGGCTATTAGGCATTATAAATCAGACAATTCTATCATGCAATTATTGAATATCCCTATCCTAAAAACTAACATGCACTTCTATCATCCCATCTATACAAAAAACAAGTATGGGTATCTTAGGGAACACTTAGGTGACTCTGATTGATTGTACACATCACATCTTTTTTCTATTGGTCTTTTAGAGTTATGTTTTTTAAAAGCATTTTGCAAATCCTTAGTTTGAGTCTGGAATCCCATAATTTTTATCCAATTCTCTCAAACCAGGGCTTTGATACCAACTTGTAACATCCCAAAAATCATAGTAAACATTTTCATTTTAAAAACCATATGATAATTAAAAAAGTCATAAAAAATGTGTTCCAAAACCATAGTCATAAATCTGAGTTTCCAAAATCATTTTTTAACAAAATATATGAGAATGATGTGCATAATCATGCCTTCGTCTTTCCCCTATCATCTGATGTACCTGAAACCAGAAAATCAAACTGTAAGCCAAAGCTTAGTGAGTTTCCCCCAAAATACCCTACACAATCAAACATATAACAACATACATGTATGAGTCTTTCAGTCTGACCGGACCGCCTCTCAAGGCCTACAACCTATCTTGACTCCTCTGCAGGCCTACGTCTTGAATGGACCGTATCACAAGGCCTACAGCCTATCCAGACCGCCCCAGGTATCTTGACCTTCTGCACAAAGCAGTAACATCTCAACCCAACCATAACAAGGTGACAACATATTAACAAAATAAAATAACAAGTACTAACTAGGAAATAGGTAGTCATGCAGATTTACGAACTATCCAATCTCTACAGGATACTAGATTCTATATACCAAGATACATACAAAATCGACAGAAACCGGTACCTTTGATGTAACGCCCACATTTCTTAATAAGCATTAATATTATGATGTAATAGTTAGGGTCGTCAATTGTAACCTATTTTGAAGTAATAAGATGAATTATCTGAGTATTATGTGATTTATGTGGTTCATATGTGCTTATAATGATGTAGTAAAATAATAATAAAAATATGCATCAAAAATAAAATAATAGATTGATCCAATATTTATGAATCAAGTTCAAGTGCTTGTGACAAGGATTTCGGAGATATAAAGAACACTGGAATCCGACTTATAACGAAGAAGTTATGACACGTCGAAGTTTTGAGACAAAACCGACACAACGTTGTGTATCGAAAAAAGTGAGATTATGATAACATACTTTTTACCCTTAGGGATCTAAAAAAGAGTCATAGTATACATTAAAATGAGAGCGTGCATATAGAGAACGTCCAAATCTGAATTCGTTAGTGGAAGTTATGATTTTTCTTAGATTTGGCAAAGCATTATGCAGCCCAGAAATTGAATTTTAGATTGATCGATTTTTAGCCAATACAATCTAAATGAGACTCGAAGATCTCATTAATAGGAGCTCAACGATATAAAGACAGACGAAAAAGGACGTTAGATGAAAACGTTATGAATTTTTAACGGACTTTAAATGTAAGCCTGTTAAAATATAACTTTAATAATAAAGTCAATATTGGACGACATAGTCTAAATAAAAGTTGTAGACCATGTCGCTACCTACACGTAGATATAAAGAACATAAAAAACGGAGCTCGTATGCAAAAGTTGTGAAATTTAGAAGATAACTAAATTATAGGTTACGATGTGAGGCTGACACGTGGCACAATCCCGACCCCACCTTTCTCCCCACGGCTTCGCACTAGATCTCGACATGTGGCCCACATACAGAAATCATAGGGCTTGGTACGTCCAACATACCGATTATTCCCCATGTTCTCCAAAGTTACACCCCAGGTAATGCGAATTTCCAGCCTATAAATAGAGGCGCAAATCACCTCATTTCTCATACCAATGTTATCCCACTCTCTCCCAATATCCAAAAAACCTCTCTTCCATTCCCTAGCACTTCCTATATATTAGAGGCGAGTCCCAGAGCGCTAGAAGGATCTGAGAAGAAGAGCTTTTGGCTCAGAAGTTTTGCTCAAGCAGAGTCTGGTTCCTTGCTAAACCCACTTGTATGTGAGTTTTGCTTACCCTACTTTAAGTATAACTTTTGTTCAAATTCATTATCATTATTGTGAACCTATAAACAAGATTTATCTGTGATTCAACGTGGTTATACTGATTGAACTACTTATGGGAGAGGTTTACAGAATGGTCATGTTGGGTTTGCTTGTTAGATTCCAGAAAAGCTATATACCTAAATGGTCCTGCCCCCCAACTGTCCTGCCTAGCTGATCCTTACTTGATAGGTCATGATGCAAACTCTGGTTTAATGATGAATCTAGACTAATAATTATTTACAATAAATATTAGACTAAAATCTAGTAATAATGATACTAGGTTTCATCGATGGAAAAGAAAATTATTAGAAGCGAAGCGCTACCCGAATTACGAGTCATCAATTTAACAAGTGAGTACATAGTTACTTTCATGTTACAGGTATATATGAAATATTTAATATAAATTACGTGATGGGTGTGCATATTATCTGTGTTTTTGATATCTATGCTGGATTAACAAAATATACATGTTTTATTCGATTTAAACTATATATGTAATTTATACCTTTAATTATGATGTGTAAAGATGGGTAGATGATATAGATGATGAAATAATTGATGAGAGGCCTAGATGTTTAAGATGATGCATTCATCTTGCTGAGTATAGATAACGACCACCGACTATTTTAGACAGTCTAGTGGAACACTGATAAGCTTGCAACCTGTAGGTGTTTTGAACTACGTGTTCACCAGGTGTACTCCATCCTCCTCATGGTTGCCTTTTTGACATACATTGTCGAGGAATCCCCTAGGTAGTGTTTTCCATCCCGATGATAATCCTTAGGCTAGGTCTCTTGAATTAGAAGCTTTAGGGAGATAAAGTGACGATCACATGAACGGGTAATCGGGTTGAATGATTGGATGAAATTAATGAACTTAATTTTTGTGGGTTGAAAACCCTATCTGCTTACCAGGCTCCCATGCCTAACCTACTCTGTTTCTTGTATTATAGGTAGTGGCCATAGTGCACATGAGTGATGATCTAATGAGATATCAATGGATTATAGGCTATTAGAATAATAGATGTTATAAGACCTGTACTATTTCTATTTTTGCTTATTTACTGTATTGACAATGACATCCTAACATCTTTAATATAATGAAAACACATTTCTTCGGAAATGCTTTGATAATTTACTTATCATATTTGGTATCAGAGCGTTAGTTTAAGAGAACTAGGAATTTGTAGGATTTCTAGACTTAAACATAGAATGCTAAGCGATGATTGTGAGACGAGTATCTTCTATATTTTAGACACGAGCACTAGATTA